TTAGAAATAGCCTTTGTGCACAGCCAGTCTTGTACTCTTCTAGGTTCAAAAACTGTCGTCCATAAAATGCTTTGCACAAATTCGAACATCTGGGTTGTGCTGTTCTGTTGTAAATAAATCTTAACCAATGATTCCTAATTGCATCTACTTCCGGAAGGCCAAATAAAGTGCTTTTGCTTTCGCACTGAAACACACACCGTCTCCCTGACATGACTGCATCAACACTACTGCTGTTCCTGAAACCACGCCTTCTTTCTTTGCGTGCACATTTGGGCGGCATTATGCTAATATTTCCACATTGATGTAGATATGTGGGGGCGTGTTAGAACAAGGCGTTTTAGGAGGGCATGGTTGACTTAACTTTTATAAAGAATATCTCTTTGGATTTGAGACTTTAGTCTTTACAACTTTACAGATCTTCTTTATGCACCAAGAGCTTGTAACACTCCAAAGAGAAAGGAAAACATGAAATCGCATCATATGACCCCTTTAAGCAAAAATACAGTACAAACGACACAATTTACAATAACCATTTATTATTTGAATATATTTGAAAATGTAATTTATTCCTATGATGGCAAAGCTGAATTTTCAGCATCATTACTCCAGTCTTCAGTGTGACATGATCCTTCAGAAATCATTCTAATATGCTGATTTGCTGCTCAAGAAACATTTCTTATTATTATCAATGTTAAAAGCAGTTGTGCTGCTTAATATTTAATTAAAATATTTAACATTTTTTTATATATAGCAATATTTAATATATTTGAAACTGTAATTTTTTTTCAGAATTCTTTGATGAACACAAAAGATTAAAAGAATAGCATTTATTTGAAACATAATTTTTGCAGCAGTTCAGTTTAATCAGACCAATTTAATGTGTCCTTGCTGAATGTAGTATTATATATGCAGTATAAATATCTATCAAAAAAATCTTACTGACCCCAATCTTTTTAAAATTAACAAAAGTATATAAAATAGGTATAAATTACAGAAAGTCCCTACATTGAATGGTTCAGCTGATTAATCAACAAATAATAATGAATTAACTCATTGTGTTAACATTCATTTGCGATCAAATGTTTCTGTTGTCTCAGTTCAGTAATTGATTCAATTCAATCCAAATGATAAGCTAGCAAATACTCATTTAGGGTTACTACCTAAAAATACTGTAGCAGTCTATTTAATTTCAACAAATTAAACAATTGATTATTAGAAGTGAGAGTATTTTGTGGTTTCCCCCAGATTTGGGTTGTTTTTTTGTTGAAATGGTCCACCACCTAAAAATGTTTGAGAACTACTGATCTGAAGAATTCAAAATGCTAAATGATTTTTATTATTAAGAATTTTTTTAAATGATACATTTAGAATGAAATGTAACTTAATATTACATTCAAATGATTGTATTTGTGTGTAGATAAGGTGGAAGCTGAGCTGTTGCATACCTACAGTCGAATAGACCCGTACGACACACTCATCCTGTGCGTTCGTCTGGCTGTGCTGACTGCCGTCACACTCACTGTACCCATCGTGCTGTTTCCTGTGAGTTTCTCACACACACACACACACTCTGTTAAACCTTTACAATTTTAAATAAACTACATCTTATCAGGTTACGACTTCATTAGAGAGTCAGGATTGGATGACAGGCAGCATTTCCGTATCCGATTTCAATGCTTTTGATGCCTTTTCTTAGGTAAGGAGAGCAATTCAGCAGTTGTTCTTCCCAAATAAAACCTTCTGGTGGCCACGTCACATTGCCATAGCTGTCACCCTCCTCACCATCATCAACTTACTGGTCATCTTCGCCCCGAACATCCTGGGCATCTTCGGAGTCATCGGTGGGTTTGGTGCTCTCGGCTCTTGAATGATGTTATTCTGGTCTCTTTGTAGCACTCGTTGGATTCTTTCTCTCTTTCTTTCTTTTGAAGTTTCATTGGTGTGAAAAGAGTGCGAGAGCTGTGTGCAGTGTCCTTAAGTGTCACCATGACAACCTCAAGGACCTCACCGTTGCTTTTATCTCCACATGCATTAAAGTCTTAAACTATAATACTGTACGTACAGTCCCAGCTGTGCATAAATCCATTGCCAACAGCATTATTAATCGCCATTGGAATGTGTATATAATTATCAGCAAAGTCCCATTATGCTTTTCCTTTTATTACATTAGAGTTTTTCCTGGTCTCACACTTAACTCGATAACACTAATTGTTTCTCCACTTCTCGTGAGTTTTACCTACCTCAGAGAAGAATGGACACTATTGTTCTCTTGGCCTAACCACCATGAGAAATCTCTCAATAACTATGGCTTATATTACTTGAAAAGCTTTAGCTCAAGCTATTCTGACACAGTTAAGACTTAGTCCTGAGGCATAATGTTAGTGAAGTATGAAGGTTTAGGTTTACAGTAAGTGTGTACATGTGTTTATTTTTCTGTAGGTGCCACGTCTGCGCCGTGCCTCATCTTTATATTTCCGGCTGTGTTTTACATCCGCATTGTTCCCAAGGAAGAGGAACCTATGCGATCAGCACCGAAAATCCTTGTAAGTACTTAGACATACTGTATTCGATTCCTCCCCATTCATCGACAGTGGGATCTAGTTTCTTACCTCTTGTAGGAATGTAGATGCTTTGAAAACTTTCATACTATCAGATTGAGATCCTCTCAAAAATAATCATGCTAAGAGCTTCGTAAATCCCTTGGGTAAATCCTTGGTGTGACCCAAAACTATTGTAAACTAGTAAACTAATTCCCCTTTAGTTACAGCAAACAGCAGGAATCTGGAGACGTTGGGCGAAACCTAAACGTATAATTGTAGTATTTCTGAATCTCATGAAAACTGCCAAGACATGTCCAGGTTATAATTAACCCTAAAATCCAAAGGGAAAAAAGTATTTTGTGTATATTGAAAATCAAAGCCTTTTTTTAGAGCCATTAAGTTGTTGTTGTTTTTTCATTGTGGGAATATTTTCATGACATTTAAGCATATTTTCTCCCTTGCTTCACATTGTAATGTATTTTTTTGTTTTTAATTAACATTTTATTAAAAAATTTAATTTTAAAAGTAGAATTATAAGTATATAAATATCAATATTTAATGTATGCTCATTAAAAAAAAAAAAGATTGTCATGCACAAAACTCTTAATGTTCTGAAAATTGGCTTCATTTTGTTTGCACATTTTATTTGATTTCATTTTGACCCAGACATTTCTTCACAATGTGCACGCAATCTTGTTTTTTAGATGACATATTATTAATTAATTCCATTAATGCAAAATGTGCTTAATTTAAAAATCATGCACATGAAAATGGCACAATGCAGAAAAAAATCTTAATGTTCTAAAAACTGACTTCATTTAGTTTGCAAATTTTATTGTATTTTATTTTGACCCAGATATTTCACAATATGCACCCAGTCATATTTTTTATATTACATAATCCATTAATCATTTGGAAACGTTGTTTATAATCCTGCATTGAAAATCAAAGCCTTTTTTTAGAGCCATTAAGTTGTTGTTGTTTTTTCATTGTGGGAATATTTTCATGACATTTAAGCATATTTTCTCCCTTGCTTCACATTGTAATGTATTTTTTTGTTTTTAATTAACATTTTATTAAAAAATTTAATTTTAAAAGTAGAATTATAAGTATATAAATATCAATATTTAATGTATGCTCATTAAAAAAAAAAAGATTGTCATGCACAAAACTCTTAATGTTCTAAAAACTGACTTCATTTAGTTTGCAAATTTTATTGTATTTTATTTTGACCCAGATATTTCACAATATGCACCCAGTCATATTTTTAATATTACATAATCCATTAATCATTTGGAAACGTTGTTTATAATCCTGCCTCTCTCCTTCTTTTATAGGCTGCTTGCTTTGCCATTTTAGGAGTCCTATTTATGGTAATGAGCCTCGGCTTCATCATCATTGATTGGACATCAGGGAGCAGCAAAGGAAGCAGTGGTCATTAGGCCTCACCCTCTAATGGTTTATGCTTTTTAATATTACTTTCGGGTCAGTAGTTGGGGAGGATGCATAATCTCTCAGTGATCAGTCACAAGAGTATTACCAGATTCCTAGCTTTAATTGCATTCAATCAATGCATTATTTAGCCGTGTGACCTGCATGTGCTGTAAATGGGGTTTTGACCCATCTCAGGCCAGCATTAATAAATCCATTTAAAGGCCATCCACTTCCAAAAAGGAGTGGAAATAGTTTGTTTTAAAGCAGGGAGAAGACAACCAGAAAAGAAAATCAGAACTAGAAAATGAAAGCCCATGATAGTTAGTTTGTGCCATAGTAACAGCACATGCAGTATGCAGGGTTTACGAACAAAAGGGATTATGCATTCTAACCGAACAGACTCATCAGCTTGCCCAACCTCCCATCCAGCCCTTCATATTATGACCTTTGATCTCTGCCCTTCGGCCACATTCCCAAGAGATTAGAAATCAAAGTAAGTGCTCAGTTCTTATGGGAGGATTGGTGGTTATTAAAGTGTTTATTTCATCATATCTCATCTTAGATATAGCAATACTCTGTGCAATAGCTGTGAGATATCTGACACTGAAGGCCGTTGAGAGGAGACACACAACCTCGTCCAGAATCCAGACTTGATTTGGCTGCAGTCTATTACACTATTTCAAATTTATGCAAATTGTACGTATAGATGTACGTGTCACATTTTTATATGGATTTATAATGTTTATCCTTTCTACAATATTTAGAGATAAATATATTAGTAGATATATGAACATATATATATATATATAAAAGAGTATTCCGATTCATCTGGTATTCACAAGGTTATCCATCACATCCCTTTACAGTATTTGTGACTATTCAGCTAAGATGCCGTCTTTAAAAGATTTCGATTTAAAAAGACAGAATTATTCAAGATGAAAGGCACATTTGAAATATTCTTCTTTTTTTAGGAATACTACTGTTGCGATGGGAAAGCACAGATTGGAAAGCACAGTTAATCATAGGGTCAGGTTGTAATGATCCCATGAGTCCTGCTGATAGACTTTGAAACACTCTCTGGATTTATATGTAGAGAAAACCAAAAACACAGATTCACAGGGTCTTCTCCTTAACTGGAGAAACAAATGTGGTGCATTGATGCACATAAATGTTTTAGTTACAGGGCAAAATGGCATACATGTGGTTACCTTGCCCGGTGGAAACTGATTGGTTTTGCTTCTAGATAGGCTTTAAAAAAAGAGGCTATTAACCCAAGTAGACTGATGATTTTGGAGATCGGTTCCCGCACAGGGTCATTCTGCGATTACTGAATCCTTAAACTACAGCACTTTCAGTTGAAGCACAACCTCCGCTCAATCTCTTGACCTAGTGACCCAGTTATGACTTATGACATAATCGTAGATTAATATATTTTGTAGACAGATATATGATGAACAAAGCCTATGTACTACTAACTGTAAATTGTTCAAAGAAAAGAGTAATGTGTGGACGTCTAACATGGTACATGAATATTTTAAACTTTGTAATTGAAACTCATCATCCTAAAAACAAACAAACAAACAAAAAAATCAAGCACTTACTGGCCCATAATGATCTTAGTGGTAACACTGTGGTGTTTTAGTGTGTGTATGTGTGCGTTCTCTCCTCTTCTCGCTTATGAAGAAAGGATACTTCAGTCAGTGAACGTACTGTAATGGACTATAAGATGTCTAAATGAGATGTGCATTGAAATTGTGGTACTATTTTATTCATTTTTGTCTGTTTAATTAATGTTTAATGGATAGACCAGCCACACATATAACATAATCATCATATTTGTGAACCAGTATTAGCATAATTACATATCTCAATATCTTCGTTCAGTATTTTAAATGTCCCTGGTGTTTGCATCAAGGGCCTGTCAGACAGCAAAGGCACTGTAATATATTCTAAATTACAATCTGTACTTCCTTGTTTTGTTGTTGTTGTTTTTTTAAAGCCTTGTTTATCATGGTCGGATGCTTCATTTCCCTCTTTGTGGTGTTTTGGGAATATATTGAGAAATGAATGATTAAATATGTCCGTATGATTGCTGAAGTGTAACCCATTGAGATCATTGTTAATTTTTTTTGGTAAAGAAGCGTTTAGTTGTGTGTTCTGGTGACGATTAGATGTTATATGTGTAATGCCTCACACACCACTCTGGTTTCTTAAGCACAAAAGTGTTCCATCGTTTTAGCAGTGTGTGTTAATGTGTGTTCACATGCCTGAGAACTAAATGTGCCAGTTGCTAATGAATTGCCAGTATCCGTCATTAAGTATACCAATGGCTCTAAATGCTTCTTGATTGCTCAAAGTCTGAACATGTCTTTGAAAGTAGAAGTGTGAATCTCATGCAATGTATTTTTGATCAAATATAAATGCAGCCTTGGTAAGCATAAAAGTCTTCTTTCAGAAACATAAAAAAATCTTACCGGCCCCAGATATATATTACATTATATTACATACAGTATATATCATATATTTCTGTTATTTGATTTTGGAGTGATATTTTATGAGATTCACTGAGAGCGACTGTAATTTTGATTTGATAATGTTTGAGAGTATTTTTAAGGAGAAATGATGAACTCCTGTTTGATGTATCCACTGCATAAAATAATGATTTTATGATGAAGGTAGTTTATGTTAACCAGAAAGATCGAATTAACTTACTATCGTATAGCACAAAGTATGAATCTTTAGTATCAATGATGAATCATGGATAAATATTGTTCCTTTTATAAAAAAGTACAGTCTGATTGCTGCAGCTAGAGCATTACCAGTGGTGCACCAGAACAACAAGATCCCCCATAATGCTATGCTTCCATCCCCAGGCTTTCTCATGCACAGCTTTGTAGCTTCTGAGCTGACGTCTGGGCTGACAGCAGCACTTTTTAAGCACCTGCAGATCATACCGGTATATGATCTCCAGATCTGCAAGGTATCACAAAGCAGCAGAAGGGGCAAGAATTGAATTGTCTTAGCAGCTGTGTACTTGTGTCCAGTCGGCGTGATGTTTCCCTTGTGATGTAATGAAAGTGTCATCTGTTTGTAACAGTTTATATGAATTCATTACTTACATGGCAGCATTTATATATAATGTACATAAATGTAAACCCTTTATATTATAAGCACATCTATAGTTTGTATATTGTAAATAGATGATGTCAAGTCTGATGATTAAAACCTAATAATTTTTAAAAATGCTTTTTAAAAAGCCAGTTTGTCTTTATTTTCTTTATTCTCAGTACTGAGTACATTGCTTGCAGTAAATGTACTGTAAACAATGTTCAAATAAAAAAAGAATAAATAAAATGCATTCATTCTTGATTCAGTCTACTGTACAGCTTTTACTGTAGATGTCTCTGTGGCTCACTGACGTAAAGGGGAATTAAACGCTATTTGCGTGCCATTTAGCAGATCTCTCCAAAGCAATACTATATTACACTAATTGTAGGTTGAGATGAAGTGTCTTTTTCAAGGACGCAGTGGTCTGAAAGCAGTTCCTGGGGTCAAACCTGCAGATCTTTTCGTCCACCATCAGCAACTGTCTCTTTTCTCTCTTTTCTATCTTGCTGATGGTCCACCTAAGTCTAAAGCTGTTTATGTCAAAACAGAATCTTGCCTAGAAACAGCAGTTTCCTGAAAACGTTCACATGATTTGTGTTTCCTCTTCTCCTGCTCTTCTCAAAATGGGCAGAGCATTTAGTTGATAATCGATTTAAACGCATCCAATCTGACAGACATGCTGAATTCCCCCCAAAATACTCAAGTTTAATATACATAACCTCAATGCACTCTTAAAAATAAAGGTTTGTTGTTGGTATGAAAAACCTTTAAAATTCATGGAACCTTTCTCAGTTCTTCACACTGAGAAAAAATTGATCTTTTAAGCACAGTTCACTGAAAGGTACTTTGGGGAACCAAAAATGTTTCTTCTATGTCATTGCTGCAATTGCTCCAATTTATGATGAAGGTAGTTTATGTTAACCAGAAAGATCGAATTAACTTACTATCGTATAGCACAAAGTATGAATCTTTAGTATCAATGATGAATCATGGATAAATATTGTTCCTTTTATAAAAAAGTACAGTCTGATTGCTGCAGCTAGAGCATTACCAGTGGTGCACCAGAACAACAAGATCCCCCATAATGCTATGCTTCCATCCCCAGGCTTTCTCATGCACAGCTTTGTAGCTTCTGAGCTGACGTCTGGGCTGACAGCAGCACTTTTTAAGCACCTGCAGATCATACCGGTATATGATCTCCAGATCTGCAAGGTATCACAAAGCAGCAGAAGGGGCAAGAATTGAATTGTCTTAGCAGCTGTGTACTTGTGTCCAGTCGGCGTGATGTTTCCCTTGTGATGTAATGAAAGTGTCATCTGTTTGTAACAGTTTATATGAATTCATTACTTACATGGCAGCATTTATATATAATGTACATAAATGTAAACCCTTTATATTATAAGCACATCTATAGTTTGTATATTGTAAATAGATGATGTCAAGTCTGATGATTAAAACCTAATAATTTTTAAAAATGCTTTTTAAAAAGCCAGTTTGTCTTTATTTTCTTTATTCTCAGTACTGAGTACATTGCTTGCAGTAAATGTACTGTAAACAATGTTCAAATAAAAAAAGAATAAATAAAATGCATTCATTCTTGATTCAGTCTACTGTACAGCTTTTACTGTAGATGTCTCTGTGGCTCACTGACGTAAAGGGGAATTAAACGCTGTTTACGTGCCATTTAGCAGATCTCTCCAAAGCAATACTATATTACACTAATTGTAGGTTGAGATGAAGTGTCTTTTTCAAGGACGCAGTGGTCTGAAAGCAGTTCCTGGGGTCAAACCTGCAGATCTTTTCGTCCACCATCAGCAACTGTCTCTTTTCTATCTTGCTGATGGTCCACCTAAGTCTAAAGCTGTTTGTCAAAACAGAATCTTGCCTAGAAACAGCAGTTTCCTGAAAACGTTCACATGATTTGTGTTTCCTCTTCTCCTGCTCTTCTCAAAATGGGCAGAGCATTTAGTTGATAATCGATTTAAACGCATCCAATCTGACAGACATGCTGAATTCCCCCCAAAATACTCAAGTTTAATATACATAACCTCAATGCACTCTTAAAAATAAAGGTTTGTTGTTGGTATGAAAAACCTTTAAAATTCATGGAACCTTTCTCAGTTCTTCACACTGAGAAAAAATTGATCTTTTAAGCACAGTTCACTGAAAGGTACTTTGGGGAACCAAAAATGTTTCTTCTATGTCATTGCTGCAATTGCTCCAATTTATCTCATTTTGTTTCTCTGTTTACTTGGATGTGTAATCTGGTAATCCATAAAGACAATCATTTATACAGTTAGACTTTTATACTTTTTCTTTTAAGTTCTGTTTATCCATCTTATTTTTAACATAAGAACTGTCCATTTGTAACTTGAATGTGCAAGACTTCCTGTCATTAGCTTCCAATAATTTTTTTACAAAACAGCTAGTTGTGCTGTTTGATATTACAGACATGCTATTTCTTATATTATTTTACACATTGGCTCAAATAGTTTTACCGTTTACACCACTTTTTAAAAATAAAATCTTAGGTAAAGTAAAGTGTAAATAAATATAATTTCTGACACATGAGGGCGCATGAAACACAGAGACAGGTCTAGCTCTCTGTCGTAATGCTGTTTGCTCTAGTCTTAAGGGTCACCAGACTCGGCCCTGGAGGGCCCGTGTCCTGCAGAGTTTAGCTCCAACCCTAATTAAACACACCTGAACCAGCTAATCAAGGTCTTACTAGGTATACAGGCAGGTGTGTTGAGGCAAGTTGGAGCTAAACTCTGCAGGACACCGGCCCTCAGGATCAAGTTTGGTGACCCCTGCTCTAGTCTATCCAAACGCTGGAAACGCATTAAATATGGAAAAATCATTGCGAGCGCTTTAAACAAGGTTTCTTCTCCTGCCCGAGCACAAATCATACAGAAGAACAGAACACATGCTGAAATCCGTGCGTCAATATTGACACAAGTCTCAACAAAAGACATTTCTAACAGAGGCCCTAAAGAATGTCATTTGTCATCATTGAACGGCAAACAAGAGAAAGTCAGCTGTAATACACACACACAGGCCATTTTGTCTAAAGAAACCTCCAAAAAAAAGAGTTATTCTTATAAATAGATACAACTAAATACATGAATAAATACCACATTTAAAAGTAAAAGTTTCAATGAATTCATACAGTTAAAGGGATAGTTCACCCAAAAATGAAAATTCTGTCATTGATTACTCACCCTCATGTAGTTCCAAACCCCTAACCCCTGGCGCAGCTGACACTGAACAATGTACACTGGCTGTGTCCGAAATCGCCCCCTATACCCTCATTCACGATTCCCTACATTAGGTCACTAATTCAGTTCACTAGAAGGAGTGAATGAAAACGAGTAGTGAATTCGGACACTGAGTGCACCGGAAGGAATATGGAGCCAGATCGGCCTCAAAAATAATACATTTATAAAACAAAATTCATAAATTCACAGCACAATTTACATTTACAAAATCCGATTCGTACATTCAAAACACAATTCATAAATACAGAAGTAAAAGCATAAATATTTCCCCAAATGCTCACACAAAATACCTAAATAAATGTAAAATGTTTACACAAATATGTATACACCAAGTTCTTGAATTAATTTCAGA